AAGCGAAAGAAACTGAAAAAAAGACGAAAAATTAGTAAAGTCTTGTGCCGCTAAACAAGGCGCAGCCGGGATTTCGGAGTGTCGTTGCAAATCTCTATGACCGAAATTTTGAAACTCGGCAGTTATAAAACGGCATTTAAAAACGAATTGTTGGGATTTTTGAAGAAAAACGGAAAAATAGCACTTTAAGACACAAATTGTACAAAATTAAAAACAAATTTCGTCGGAAATCTTAAGCAAATCGAAAAATATGACCGAGAACATGTGTCCTGAACGATTGATTATTATCATGCAATGACAACTCGAGTAAAAATCTTGGAACACGAAAATGCTAACAAATGCTTCTAGATATATACCAAGGAATGTTCAAACATATTTTTTTATTCAGCCACTATCAACCAGTCAGCGCCTATTCGACTGTCATTTAGCAGTTTTTCATCAACCGCGCCTCAAATCCTAATTGATATAGAAATGCTTCTAATAACGCATTTTTTAGCTTCCCAGACCCCTCTATGACTTTTATGATGTTTTTAGAGAGAACTATTTTTTCAACAAAATTTTCCATTCTGAAGGAATTTGGACCGCCAACCACCGGTCGTTGGCCAGTCAGCGCCTCTTCGACTGTCATTTAGCACTCGTTCAACAACCTATTTTTTGAGGTGGTCATATTTGAGGTAAATAAGATTCTATCATTTCTTATAATCTAGTGGGAGTAGGAGAAATTGTTTTCTGATTGATTTCCAATCAAAACCTCAAGTCTGTTTTCCAATCGGTACCGACTGTCCGTCGACAGACCGTCGACGGCCCGTCGGTTCTCCTTCGGCTGCCAACTAGCAGTCATTCGCCAGTTTGCGCCTCTTCAGCTGTCATTTAGCAGTTTTTCGGCAGTCCCCCTTTACCTGTGAAACGAGGTTTTTTAGTGAGTAGTTTGTCGTAAAATACAATGCAGCGTATGAAAACACGTTGACGAGCAAATGCACGAAAACGGTCGGCGCGCTGACTGATCGGTCAGTTCGGTCGGCTGACGGTCGGCGGGGTCGGTGGTCGGTCGGTCGGCTAAATTTCCCGACCGAATGGAAGCCTTACTCGTCGAGTTCTATCGTATCTAAATTAGTTTATTTTAAAAAATTGTTTCTGGAAGAAACTATGTCAAGGCCCGCGAAGGGCCCGGTTGCAAGTATGGCTAAAATGGTCTAGAACCCACTGACTATGCTAAAATGGTCTAGAACGCACTGAGCCCTCGAGCCAATTTACACACCGTATATCCATACTCCTTGAAATCCTTAAAAACATGATTCTCGTTATCCAAAAACCTCTCACAAAATTTAGTTTCGTTCCAATCTGGTTTTAATTCTTGCCCAGACACAGTCCGTCCGCCTTCTGTCCGTTTTCCAAACCAAAGTGTCCGGAATCTGACCAACCTCCATCCTGAAGATGACGCCCGAGATTGGAGACGAGATGCAGTTTCCGGAAAAAAAAGACCTATAAAAAATTAAACCTCCGGGCAACAATGTGAAAAGAAAAGATGAAGAAAAGTACCTTCGCATTTATGAAAAGATCATAAAAGTTAAATCCAGATAATAATTCAGACAATAGGACCATAGGAATGTCAACTCATAAAATGTTTTTTGGTACCAAAATTTTTTTATTTTTCAAATTTTTGATATCTCTAATAGGAATTAAGATAATTGAGCTTGAAGGGAAAGTATAGAGTTCCTAATTATTCTTACTCTTTCCCACGTCTCTCCCACTCGAAAATTTAAACGGATTTAACAAAAAATACATCAGAGGGATTAACGATTTCGACCAAAACCATTGGTGTCCCGTCCCGTCGAATAGTTTGAATGCCTTCGCACTCTCTATATGTTGCCTAGATCTGTCATCAGATGTTTTATTGGGTTTTCGTTTATTATTATTTTCGATTTCACTGTTATTTTAGCCAATAAGGTTAGCCGTTACTTTCATTCATAGTTCATTTGTTGTCGTTGTCTCTTGTCTGAAAATTCAACGCTTTTTTTCTCGGTTCCTGTCAATGACATCAAAAAGTTTTCAATTGACACATTGTTTATCATAATATCGGAAATGTTTTGTTAGATGAAAAATGTTTGATTTTTTTCACAGGAACCGAGATAAATCAGCTGAAACTTGTCAGTATTAAATTTCCGTTTTATGTGAAAACCCACATAAATGTATCTTGTTTCAAACAAACTGTTCAACAGTTCGAAGTCAAAGTTCGCTGACAAAAAAAGAAGATTATGTATGATTTTTGAAAATAGGGAATTTGATCCCAATCATTGGCCAGCGAAGACAAAAAAAAACCAACCATACCAAACTTCAAAAAACCCAATAAGTTTGAATAATCAGTTTGATCTATTGATCTCGTTTCCAGCTACCTCTCAACAGTGACGACATCAAACCCCAAAAGTACAACAATAGATGGGAGTTTGAAAATGGCGCGGAGAAAATTGAACGACGAGAAGAAGGACAACCAGTGCCGACAGTAACGATACCAAAAGAAGGTCCGTTTCATTGGAAGTGGACGTGGAATTCGAAAGTGAATACAACAAGTACATCTGAAGCCACTACTGGGACTACAACGACTACAAAAGCTACAACGACTACAAGTTCTCCAACAACAAGTAAACCACGTGTATACGCATTAAGGCCAGCAGCCAGAAAATCGTTAAGGAATGTAAGTTCAAGTTTTAAAAACGGAACCATTTGAAAAGGCAAAAGAACTGTAATTTTTTTTGCTGACTAGATTTCCACATTCTTCTAGTTGACTAGTTTTTGATAGTTCTAAAGGAGAACGGATTTATGTGACAATCCAACTTTGTTAGGCTCTTCGTGGCACCACCCCGGAGAAACGAAAAAAGCAACTGGCTCAAATGGGAAAGAAGATGAAGATCAACAAAATCTCCAAGTCGCAGTCCAACAAACTTCACAAAACCTATCGAAAAGTTAAGATTTCGGAAAATCCACCAGCGCTGGATATGTTTGAAGTCAATGAGCAAGCTGGACTGAATGCATATCTCTTTCAAGGAGATATAAATTTGGATGAGTGAGTCTATCTTATTTCCTGTGAAAGATATTAAAAATAGGCAAACTGATAAAACGTTTTTGATATAATGAGAAACATTTCACTTTTTGTCATCTTTTTGATATCAATCACTTTTTGATATCTGTCACCGAAAATTATATAAATGGGCTCAAAGTTGAAAGTTAAAGGTGACGGTTTTAGTTCAGAGCATTCAGATTTATTTTACAAGAACCAAGATACTTAGAAGTTTAGTCCAAGGCTTTGCCACAGCCGTCCGCGGTCGACCACGGCCCACTGTGATTGCAAATTTAAACCAAAAAAAAATCTTCAGCAAACAAATCGCCGAGTTCACTGCAAGTGCAAAATCATCTTCTCGCCGTAAACGCCAAATTCAAAATTCCGCTCTTTTTTGGCCCGACAAAATTGTCTACTATTACTTTGACCCTGGACTCGGCACCAATATGCAACAAATTGTGACCGAAGCGATGGAATATTTGCAGCAGAACACATGCGTGAAGTTTGTAATGAATGATACGGCAACGAACCGGGTTAAGGTGAGCTAAAAGTTTTTATCGGTTGAGCAAGCTTGCTAACTTTTAGATCATCAATGGCGTGGGTTGCTACTCAAACGTCGGAATGCTAGGTGGAGAACAAACACTGTCACTTGGTTCTGGATGTGAATTGGTTGGCACTGCTGCCCACGAGCTTTCACATACCCTTGGCGTGTTTCATACCCAAATGCGATCTGACCGAGATGACTATGTGACAATTGACTTGACAGATGTGTCAGTGTCATCAGAGCCAAATTTCTACAAAATGACAGCTGAAGAATCGACGAATCTCGTGGATTATGAATATGGAAGTTTTATGCATTACTCTGGAAGAGCGTGAGAAAAAGTTTTGTGAGGTTCAATACAGTAAAATGGGATTTCAGATTCTCGACTGGTGTTGACTCGATAGTTCCCAAGGATCCATTGATGGTTTACACTATGGGAGGACGAGTAGTATCGTTCTTGGACATCAAGATGTTGAATGAGCATTACACATGTTCTTGTAAGTATTATCCACAAGTGTGGACTATCTAAAGTTTCCAGGTCCATCCTCTTTAAACTGTGCCAATGGAGGCTATACTAATCCATCCAATTGCACTGTATGCATTTGTCCTTGGGGATTTGGAGGTACATTATGCGACGAACGAGCAGACACTGGATGTGGTTCAGAGCTCACAGCCACAGACACTTGGCAGCAATCGAATTATTCTTTTGGGGATCCTACAAACTCGCAGACAGCTCGACCACGTTTCATGTACTGTACACATTGGATCAAAGCACCAGTTGGAAAGCAGATTCAGTTTCGTATCGATGCAGCACAATACCATCAGTGCCAGTACGCCTGCCCGTTCGGAGGACTGGAACCTAAACTGAAATCCGACGTGACTGTGACTCAAGCGAGGTGAGAAGACGTTTCTTTTCATTTCATAACAAGATTGTAAGAGATGCTAGATTAGTGCATTTCAAAGTTTCAGATATTGCTGCAACGAGTTTTTTGGAGAAGTTATGACTGCTGAGACGAATCCATTGCCAGTTTTTGCATTCAGCAGATACTACATCAGCGTTTGGTCATGGTCCTATCGATACGGTGAGATGCCAGAATCGACTTTTTTACTTTAAAGGTGGAGGGACATGAAAAAATAATGTTCTCTAATTCCGTTTAAATATACCCCTCGAGGAGTTGAACTTGTGGGGGCGAGGATTGAGGATGAGGCGCCGCTACCGACTAAGCCACGCGACCAAAAAAAAAAGCGGCCGCCTGATTGCATACATAAAGGCGAGGACGACAGCTGTACGCAGAGTGGCATGAAGCGTTGTACACCGTTACGGTAGAATGCATACACTAACTCCAAAAAAACTCCGAAAAATCTCCTGTCCCACCTTTAAGAGTCTATGGCCTTTACAAAAAACTGGGGGTTTACAAAGTACACAGAGTCTATCTAGACCCTTGAAATAATTGAACCAATGTGTAGCACACAAAAAGCTTAAAAAATAAATAATCTATTGAAATTTCAGTGGATGCAATACCAACTTCTTGTGTCGACCTGTCAGACGCGGTGACTTGTTTGGCACTGAAATCATCTTACGATCAAGGATGTAGTCTTTACGATACCGCCCAACTAAAGGTGATGTGTGCAGTGACGATGGATTTGTGTGGGAAAGCAGTGTCGGGAAGTGGAACTTGCCAAGATCGGTTTCCGAAAAGCCAGTGAGTTATTCTTTAACACTTTAAGACAAGCTAGAATTTTCAGATGCTCCACTTACTCTTCCAACGGATTGTGCACTTCGCAACTTCCACTCATCGCCGAGTTTTCATGTGCATCTACTTGTGGTTTCTGTGTTAATCCTGTCTGAAATAAAAATTTGGTTTCTGACTTGTTTGAATTAGCACCGGTCTACTGTAAATTCAAAAAAACTCTCTTTGGGATCGATTTTTTAAATGATAGCTTTGATATCAGAAATTTGGTCGAATATTACCAACCTTGATAAATACCCCGCCATTTTATTTCTACAGCAAAGGTCTACATCTTTAAATAGTACAATTTCGTGATCATCGGAACAAAACAAAACCTGTTATTGAAGAAAACAGTCAATTGTGTACCTTGTCCAGTTATTAACAAAACATCATCGGTCAGTTTGTGTCATAATATCGATCTCGTTCCATTTTGAACCTTTCCTCATTTTTCTCCAATTCCTATCTATCTCTCACTGACTTTTTCCAATATACCCCGAGAAGAAGAAGAATGCAAAAATGGTCAGTAGTAGCAGAATGTGTCTGCCGAAAATACCCTACTACCGTTTTCTGGTTATGATGGTTGCATTTTTCTGTTTAATGAGCATTTTTTCGAATTATACAATTATGAATTTTGCATTTATTTGTATGAAAAATGACATGCAAGGTGCAGTACAAGGCGAGAATGGGGTGAGTTTTTTTTTCAAAACCGTCAATTTTAAGCCACTTTATCTCGGTTCCTGTAGAAGATATGAAAAAAATGGTCAGCTGATTAAAAAAACGATGATATATGATGAACATTTTATCAATTATGATGAACATTTTATCAATTATGATGAACATTTTATCAATTATGATGAACATTTTACTTTTTGATATCTGACTCAGGAACCAAGATAAACAGCCTCAAAGTTGAACGTTAGGAAGGGGGTGGGGTCGTTCTTGAGGCTACGATACTTGCAACTTTGAGTGCATTTATCTCGGTTCCAACAAATGATACTAGAGATTTGCCAACTGATAAAATGCTTATCATAATATCACTGACAGTTTTGTAGTTGAACATTTTTTGATATCGTTTACAGGAGCCGAGATAAATTGGCTCAAAATTAAAACGTAGGTCAATTAAAAGCGTTTATGCTACATGCGTTTTGGGCTCAATTTATACCGGCTCCTATAAGAGATGAGAAAAATGTGTCAAACGATAAAATAATGGTGATATTATGGTAAATAATTTGATTTTTATTTGAGGTTAATTATCTCAATTCCTGTAAAAGATATCAAAAAGTGGCCAACTGAGAAAAAATTTTTGATGTTATTATAATTATTTTATCAGTTGACAACATTTTGATATCTCTCATAGAAATTAAGATAATTGAGCTTTAAAAAAGTTTTTTCCAGACCCTCCAATCCATCTATGACTACACTTCCACTGAAAAAGCTCAACTTATATGGGCAGTTGCCATTGGAACAATAATCGGAACCATCCCTTACAACTGGATGTATGTCAGATATGGTGCTAAAAATGTATTCCTCTCTGCTGGTATCATTTCTCTCATTGCCACTTCTTGTACCCCATTCGCCGCGGCAAATAACTATATTCTGTTACTGGTCATAAGACTGATACAGGTTGGTTTCGAATTGCATATTCATGAGAATTGCGGTTGTCGGAAGGACCACGTTTCGAAAAATACGAATTTCAGGGAATCGCTTATGCTGCAGATTTCGCAGTCATCGGAATAATCTGTGTCAAGTGGGCACCACATGATGAAGTCGCATTCTTCGTGTCCGTTTTGACCGTTTTTTCACCGTTCGCCACAGTGATAACGACAGCGGTTACAGGATTTGTGAGTTGAAAACCTTAATACCCATAGGTACATAGTTCCATAGGTTCATAGGTCCACAGGTCCATAGACCTATGGACCTATAGACTTATAATCTTTGGACCTATGGATCTATGAATCCGTGGATCAATGGACCTCTGAACCCAAGAACCCGTGGACTTATGGACCCATGGACTTATGGATTTGTGGACTTATGGACCTACGGACTTATGGGGCTATGGAACTATGGACCCTATGGGACTATGGACCTATGAACCTATATACCTGTGGACCCATAAGTTTAATAATCAAACTTTTTCAGCTGTGCACCTCAAGCTTCGGATGGAGATCGTCCTTCTACGTTCACTCTGTTGCTGGCGCCGTTTGTTTCATTCTCTGGTACATTGTTTATTCAGATGATCCCCTATCCCATTCAAGCGTCACATCCAAAGAACTCGCCAATATTCAGAAGGGAAAATCGGCGGCACATTTTGAACAGAAGAGATAATTTCTTTGATTTTTCGATTGAAAAACTAAAAATTTTCAGACAAATCCCTTACTGGAAAATGGTTACTAACAGTGCGCTAGTGTGTACCTGGTTTAATGCCTTTATGGATTTGTCCATGTCAATTATGATTATCACATACTCACCAATTTATTTCAACACTGTTTTGGAGTTCCCGGTAATATTTTTTTTTGGAGGTAAAAAAAATTGATTTGAATCTAACAGATTGAACAAACAGCTTTTATCATTGGAGTCACAAATTTTGCTCAACTTCCATTCAAATTTGGAGCTGCGTTTATCAGTGACAGAATTACGTGAGTGCCTTTGAGCTACCGTACCCACCTTATTTTGAGCTTAGTTATCACGGTTCCTAGGAAAGATATCACAAATCTGTCAACGGATAAAATATAGGTGATAATATGATGAACAATTTATCAATTGAAAATTTTTCAATATCTTTTGAAGGGACCGAGATAATTGAGTTCAAAATGCACTTATAGGGTTGGCTGTTATTAGAGCAAGTAAGCGTTTGAAAAAAACTAAAAACTCTTTTAAAAGGTTTTCAGATCCATCAATCCAAAAGCAAAAATGCTAATCTTCAATACTATTTCATGTGGAATCGTGTCTATCCTATTCGGGGGACTTGGCTTCATTTCGAAGGACCAAAAATGGGTTGCCATGTTCTTATTAATCGCCGTTAATTGCCTAATGTCCACTAATTGTGCTGGCTTTTATCAGTGTGGACGGTGATTTTTTTTCAATTTTGGCTATAAGAACCTATCACTTTTGCAGGCACGTTTCCCAACAGTTCGCTGACGTTGTAATTGCTGCAATCCAGTTCTGCAAGTGTCTGGCGCTATTTTTTGTACCAGCTATTGTAGCAGCTACAGTAACCGATGAATCAGATAGATATCAATGGTCTCATGCTTTCTTAGTAATGTCTGGGTTATTGTTAGTGGTAAGATTATTATTTTTATGTATGAACATCCCTGGCGAATAATTTTCATGAATTTTGAACTTTGAAAAACATCTAGCAATTCCAAAAAACTTGTTATGCACCCGATTTTTCCAGGCCAACTTCTCCGCCTACTTCTTCTTCACCGATCAGCCTGCCGAGTTCACCAAAACTAATGAACCTCAAGAGTTTCAATCGATGAAAGATGAGAAATTATAATCATCTCAAGATGACCATTTTCTTATCAAAATTTTTGTGTCTGATGTAAACCAACAAAATGATAATGATAATAGCAAAAATTATGTCTGCTTCTTGTGACTCTCAACTTATTTTCTATGTGATTTTCACTATTTCTCCGGAATGTCTATTTTACAATATTTTCCGCTTCTTCTCGGTGAGATTTTCAAAAGTTTCAATGACAGATTTCATCGAGTTCGTTGTTGCTATTTTTTTCGAAAATTATTTGTAGGGGCGGTGTTTGTGAACAAATGTTAGCCTGAAAAATTTAACCATAAAATCAATAAACCTGGAAACTTGAAAAAATCTTGTAGCAAGACCCATAGACCCATAAACCCATTGACCCATAGACTTGCTGGTGGCAACTTGGCACCTCCAACAGTGAGCTCACGAGTTCAAATCTTCAAGGGGCGCATATAAGCCAAATTTTTAAAAGTATGCTTTCAATGAAATCGCTCCTTTTTCAGTTCTTGTCACATTATCACAATGTACACTGGAGCCAAATTTATGTGACGAAAAACGAACAACACAATGTGACGAGTATGCAGTTTGCTGTTCACTTGGAAATGAGCAATATGGTTAGTGAATTTTTAAATAGTTTATTAGATTTAATTTTGAAAAATCTGGTCTGAAATGTGCCATCTGAACGCAGAAAGAGAACGGCAACTTGCTTTTTTCACGGCAAGCAACGGCAAGCAAGTTTCATGCATGCGGCAACTTGTTGATGTACGACCCTCCTCGAACATGGTCAGCAAGCACTAGCAACTTGCTAATTTGTCCAGCAACTTGCTGATTCTGCTCAGCAACTTGCCAAATGGCTCGCAACTTGCCGTTTGCTTGCCCAAAATTCCCTGAGAAGTTAAGATTAACCATTTTTTTCAAGTTTTGTGGTTGTTTCCACTAAAATTTCGTGCTTTGAACATTTTTCTTGAAATTTTCAGTTTATGTCATTTCTTATACTTTTTTGTATAATTATTTTGTTCCTAAGCCTAAATTAATCAAATAGTAGCTTAATAAAATGAGATTCCCCTTATTCTCATGGGCCCCCCTTTTGACTTGCCCCCCCTCTTTTCCCATGGGCTCCCCCCTTTTCTTATGCCTCCCCCCCCCCTGTCATAAAGAGGCAAAAAACCTGCCTCTCTTCAGCGCCTCTACAGGTTTGAGGACTCTCTACACGTTTTTTACTCGTTCATTCGTGCGATTATTTTGAATAGACAAAGATTAAATTTTTGATAAAAAATCCAGGTTGCTGTCCATTTACCGGTGGTACATGTTGTCCTGGAACAAGTCATTGCTGTCCCCCCGGATTCTCTTGTACAACTAATGGGACATGTAAAAGGGTAAGGCTATCTCTCTCTCTTCCTTCATTTCAAGAAAATAGTTGCAGACATCCACAATTGAGAAACCCTTGGATCCACATGATGTTGACATTATAAATTGAGTTTCAAATAAAGACAATTGAAAATTTGAATTATTTTATTTTACTATTAGCACTATTTTCACACAGAAAAGATCATTGATTTTTTCCACTATTTGCTCCTCCTCCTTCAGCTGACAATCGATCTCTTTCGTCTACAAATTCTTCTCCAGACTCTTTGGATCCACTTTGTGCTGTTTTTTCTTTTGGAACGATGATCTCTACAGACGGCGGTTTTTCTTTTTCCAATATTTGAATTTGACTATCATTTTGATTCAGCCTCTCGTAGACTTCTGCAGTATTCCCTCCACTATGCGTTTTGAGTTTTGGAGCCATTCGGACACAGCTCAGACGAGGGCACTGATTGGTTTCTGGCTCGATTTCGGTTTCAATGACACTTCGGACACTTCTACCGGAGATCGCCGCTTCGCGTTGACGGTCACGAAGAGCCTGGAAATCGATTTTTAGATTTCAAAAACAAATGTCCGAAATTCAGAATTTTTGTTACCTGACGTCTCTCCAAATGCAGCTGATCCCGATCCTGATCATTTGATGAGCAAAACGATACGATAGAAACGGGAAGGAAAATGAAGAAAAGCCAATTGAAAACTGAAAAAAAACTATTGGACCTCTGAAAACATTTCAAAAAATTCGAAAATTTCCTACGTTCAGTTATGAGAATGTTAGACATAAACGCAGTTTTCGACGAGTTGGCGTCACTCGGATAAATCGAAAATGGAATCGAAAATTTTTGAAAAAATTTACATTTTATTAAAATAGTTTTGGATATTGTGCACGTTAATGATTTATTTTGAGTTTTTGAGAAATTCCTTCTTCTGATTTTTTGAGATGCTGAAATTTTGAGACTCAAAGATTCTGAGTTTCTGAGATTCTGTGATTCTGAGATTCTGAGATTCTGAGATTCTGAGATTCTGAGATTCTGAGATTCTGAGATTCTGAGATTCTGAGATTCTGAGATTCTGAGATTCTGAGATTCTGAGATTCTGAGATTCTGAGATTCTGAGATTCTGAGATTCTGAGATTCTGAGATTCTGAGATTCTGAGATTCTGAGATTCTGAGATTCTGAGATTCTGAGATTCTGAGATTCTGAGATTCTGAGATTCTGAGATTCTGAGATTCTGAGATTCTGAAATCCTGACATCCTGATGACCTGAGAGGTTCTGAGATTCTGAGATTCTGAGATTCTGAGATTCTGAGATTCTGAGATTCTGAGATTCTGAGATGCTGAGATTCTGAGATTCTGAAATTCTGAAATTCTGAGATTCTGAGATTTATAATATTCTCAGATTCTGAGGTTCTGATATTCTGATATTTGAAGATTCTGAGATCCGGATATTCTGAGTTTCTGAAATTCCGTAGTTTTTAAATTTTGAAATTCGAGATTATGAGATTCTGATTATGAGATTTTGGAGATAAAAATTTCTGAAATTCTAAGATGTTGAAATTCTGAAAAACAGAACTTTCAAAACTTATAGAAATGCCTAAAATTTTCATTTTGGGTCTTGAAATTTGAGGGACCGAAAATTATTGTTACGGGCCGGGCCGGGCTTTTTCCCAAATTTCAGAGACCGTCGGGTCCGTCATTTCACAAGTTTCGAAAATTTCTAGGGCCGGGCCCGTGTCTTGAAAATTTCCTCAGGCCCGGAATTTTACAAGTATGGTTATTGGACAATTTTCGATGAGATTTCATCCAGAAAAACACATTCCCAAAAAACCAGGATAATTTTTTCCTAATTTCCGAACAAAAATTATTAGAAAAGGCTATTTTTGTCGATCTATGCAATAATTTTCTTCAAAATTTAAAACCCATAGGCCATTTTTATATTTCTTTACCATTCAATTTTTGGAATTTGTATTTTGTACCCTAAAAATATGTACTCTCCAAATCAAACAAGATAAAAATACAACTTCGCGATGTCCTGTGGTTTCATGTGGTTTATGCTCTTTTCTTATCATCCTGAAACTTTCATTTTGAATTTTCACTCGCAGTCTTCCGTTTCAAAACTTCTGAAAAATGCAAAAATATTGCGAAATCTGTAAACTACCGGCTCACGGCTCTCACTTTGGAGCAGTCACTTGTCGAGCATGTGCCGCATTTTTCAGGTAATTTTAAAACTTTCAAAAATTTATTCAAAGTTTTTTCAAATGTTTAGACGAGCAATTCTGGCGAAACGGATTCGCAAATCCTGCAAACTCAATAACAATTGCTCCGATTTTCGTGGGATTAAAATTCCACCATGCAAAAGTTGCAGGATGAGAAAATGTGTCCAAGCAGGGATGAGTTCAAATAGTAGGCAAAAAATCAAAAATATTTTTTGAAAGTTTTATTTCAGACCTTCAAATCCAAAAACTCGAGAACAATATTCCTCAGACCTTTGAAGTTTGTCTGGGCCATCCGTCAATTTCATTGCTGTCAAAATCTAGAAGAACATTTGTCGTGTCAATTATCTAATAAAACAAGGATTGGAGATTTTAAAATTGGGCTCGCCAAGCCCATTACACCCCGCCAAAGTCAACTGGAAAAAATGACCTTTGCAATTTCAAAACCGTCTACCACATCCAAAAAACTGTCCCATCTCAAAAAGAATCATTATACTCAAATCTGGGAGTCGGATTTTCTTTCAGCAGCAAAATTCTTAACCCATTTTGACAGTTTTATGGAATTACCTCCTGGTATGCAAATGCAACTTTTACAAGCGATTTGGCACATTTTGCCCAAAATTCTAAAAGTTGTGAAAACCGCAAATTTATGTCATGGGAAATGGGAGAAGCGAGTTTTCCATCTTCACGAAGATTTTTCTGTAGATTTGGATGATACGAAATTCGATGTCTCCTGGATGGCCAGTTGCTCCTATGAGCAATTTCGATGGTGGGTGTTTAAAGTTGTATTGACTTTTCTGAAAATTCTGGAATTCCATAAATTTCTGTAATTTAGCTTGTTATTCGGAGAAGACGTGAGCACTCAAATTGAAGAGGGTGTCAATGCAATTTATAAATTGAACTTATCGGAAATCGAATTAACTTTCATGATGTCTCAATTGTGTTTTGAATATGCCTCAAAGCGATTTTTGGGAATAGAAATCGCTGAAGTTTGTGAGAAATTTCAAGGAATTCTGGCAGAAGATATACATGAATATTATACCAAAGATTCTCGGAACGACAACAATTATGCAGGACGGTTGGCCAAAATTTTGAGGGTTAATCAAGAAATTCAGGTGAGTAAATGTTCATAGGTTCTTAAAATTAAAAATTCCGAACTTCTGAAAATCATATTCTAGAGAATCATCCGACGACTTCGCGACAAGACACATGTGGCTCGAACATTGGACATTTTGACTGTCGATTTTTCTCACCCAGAAATGTTTATGGATAGTGGTTGTTGATAAAAATATTAGACTATTATCTGAAGATTAGGTTATCGTAAAATGCACCTGCGTATCTATTTGTTTGAGAGAGATACCGCAAAGCCTGTAATAGAAGGGCCCTTTGACTTTAAACTTTGAGCTAATTTATCTCGGTTCCTGTCAAAGGTGTAAAAATCATACTTGCAAAATCAGGCCTCCATTTTTTCTGTTGACAAATTTTTTTGAAAGACAGAAAATTTTTTTTCCGAAAATCCGAGCCGGGCCATGAAAATTCTGAAAAAAGCCCGGCTTGTTGCAAGTATGGTAAAAATATTGTCAACCGATAAATTGTTCATCGTGATATCACAAAAATTTTATAAGTTAGCACATTTTTTGATATCTCTTATAGGAACCGAGATAATTCAGTTCAAACTTGACATAATGATGGCCCCTCTAATACAGGTTTCACGGTATGCGCCTTTAAAGTTATCCAGAAGACGCAGAGAAACGAGAGCAGCTGTTTGTTTGCGTCTCTCAAAAAAAAACTTCAAACTATTGTATCTTTAAAATGCTGTATCTCTGTCATAGTGATTCATTCGGAATGATAATTAGTGCATTTGAAGAAGGAAAGGATCAAAAATTCAACAAAAAGTTTTGAAAAAAAAATTAACTCCGCTATTCAATTTTTTTCAACAGTCTCAATCTCAAAAATCGTTTAACAACTGAAAATCCTACAAAAACCAATAAGCATGGACTTAAAAATAGCGAAAATTTGTAAAAATAAATGTCATAATTGTATCGTGGAATCCATGGCATTTTTACACTGTACGGAGTCATATGATGGAATGGACCATATCTGGAAGGAAATGTTTCAGAATTTAAAATGAAACATTCGCTTCACTTACTTCCCAACAAATTCTATATACTTCACCACTAGATCCTTTGGTTTCAGTGGCTGATCTCTCAACATATTTGCCACTTTTTGAGCATTTTCGACATATTTCGAGTTGTACAAAATGTCAGAAAACGCTTCTCGAAGTTTCTTGAAATTCCCCAAATCACGTTTATGTAAAGTTATCGTTGTTCCAAGACGACTCATCATGTTAGAATTACGGGATTGGTCGAAGAAAATGGGAACCTGGAAACAAAATTTTTGCATTTTTCCACATTTGGAGAAACCTACCATTATAGATGGTTTTCCTAGGAACGCAGACTCATAAGTGCTTCCAAGTCCGCCGTGTCCAAGGAAGGCGTTCAGGCGATGGTCATCTGAATTATTGAAAATATTAAAAACCACTTCAAACGGATTATTATGAACCGAGACACGATCATTTGAAAATTCGCTGTGAGAGACGCAGACAAGTAGACACTCTCGTTATTCTGCGTCTCTTCGCTTACTTTAAATTCTCACGACTTGCTTCAAAATTGAGCTAGAGTGTGCTAAATCGCACTCGTCTGGTGGTGATTCACCGGGGAATGTGCTTTGCATCCCCCGCAATCACTTTCTTTTATTAAATTCTTTATCGTGTAACCAGTATAAAAGCCCCTCTGTTGTATAATTCTACATCGTTCAATAAACCAATGTAGTTCTAAAACATGGTGCATCGTGGGTTGAAAACCCCGGTCGCTCAAAGTCCCGCGTGGCAGGATTCTACATTGGTACCTCTATTCTCCTATTATTCGCTGTTGGAATATTCCTTACTTGAGACTTGGGAATCTGGTGGACACAGGATTAGCAGGTCCAAGTCATCCGAACGAAGTGGTCGGGACTTGATGAGGACGATCACATTTGACGCATCTGAACGAGGACAAGAAAGCTATAAGACAGCGGTCGTAGCACGTCAGATATCAGTTGCACCCGAGCTTGCATCTCAACTCCGAACAATATGGATTGTTCAATCCGTAATTCTTATTTTTATGGTAAGCAACAACGAAGAAGAACTTAACTTCTTGCTCCAATCAAAAGTGAACCGACGAGGACGCTTTTCCCGCCCGGAGCCTCGCACCAACGAGAGATTTCGATCTTTCATGCTAGACCACCAAGGTGTTAGATCACAAAGACGCGACGTTAACGACATTACGAGACGTATCCAGTAGAATCATGGAACCCCGTAGATGTCACACCTTCGAACGCTCGCCAAGACGACAAGTGAAAAGACACTAACGACGTGACGCAGAACAGTACTACAAGAGGCGAGTGGACGCCGAAAACGTAGTCACTCAGTCAATTGGACCAATGGACAACTAATTTTAAATTTCGTTGTGTCTCCTTTTCTCTAAATCCGGGAGTGTGCTAAATCGCACTCGTCTGGTGGTGATTCACCGGGGAATGTGCATTGCATTCCTCGCAATCACTTTCTTTTATTAATGTTTTATCATGTAACCAGTATAAAAGCCCCTCTATTGTACCATTCTATATCGTTCAATAAACCAATGTAGTTCTAAAACATAGAGTTTTGATTTTTGAATTGTTTCAAAGAGATTTCTAAACTCACTCAAAAGCGCGGTTTGTGGAGCCCATTTGACAAATTTCACATTTTGCACTCCTCTTGCAAAATCCACATCATCCGATTCATATTTCCAGATAAAAGTGACATTTGGTTTCAATCGAAACACATCTACTAAATTCTTTTTAAAATCGTCAGGCATCTCAAATGACTTTGCCATGGATCCAAATGATAAAAACACATTTTTCTCGCGTTCGTCCAAAATTTGATCCCATTCATCACTCAACACTTCGGATCTTATTTTCTCAACATCCACTGAGATTCCACCGATATCGATTGATTTCTGAATTGATGGTCTTGGAAAATCCAAGTGTGGAATTGAATTTGTGAAATGCAGAGATGCATCTGGAATCAGATCTCTCCAATCCGGGAAGTCTTCTCCAAGGAAACTTCTATACACCTTTGCTTCATCATCAAACATTTCTGTGTAGACTTGCAGCATCAGGTGGTACATGTCATGATTTTCCAGCCGGTTGGAGAAATCCATACGGTCTCCGGAGACGTCAGCGAACACGGCTAAAAAAAATCATTATATTTGTGTTGGATTTTAAAAATTGAAAGATAAGGAGCGAATCTAACTAAAAATCATGCCTTTGAGGCTATTTTGAAACAAGTTATTAGGCCTGAACGTTATCGAGAGTGCAGAGAAGCGAGACTGTCTGCGTCTCTCTCTCTCTCCATTAAATAAATTTCGCTCAAAGTTGTCCGTTTGAATTGATCTTTAACGCGTTTTGACAGAAAATTGGTCAATAAAAAAATTTTGAACGAAGTTCTAGCTCAATTTAGACGAAATGTATGCACCTTTAAAGTTAGCCAAGAGACGCAGAGAAACGAGAGTGTCTGTTTGTCTGCGTCTCTCACTGTAAATCTTTAAATTGATCTATCTCTGCTCATAATAACTTTTGTGCCATATTTTTTTCTGATCAATAAATTATCAATTATCAATTATCAAAAAATAATAATCTGTTTGAAGTGATTTTTATCGTATTTGAAAAAAAAGGAATTTCTGAGAAAAATAGACTGTATATGAAAACAAACCCAAAAATCACTGACCTGGTACATAACTGGTATCTGCTGGCTCTCCCATTGCCGCCATTGCCATATCGTAGTTCGGACATGAACTCGCCATTACTACATTTTCAATTTCTAAATGCCGGAACAGCGCCAATGCACATGTCATAAGTGGCTCGAAAATCGCAACGTCAAACTTTCTGGACCTCAACTCTTCGATAACTTTTGTGTTCCTGAACAAGTTCCCGCATAGAAGAATGACTTGCTCGTAAAACGTTTCATAGAGGAGTCTTCCATTCTTCGAAGTCACATCCAACGTCCAAAATTTGCCAGTGATCTTGTCGATGCTGATTTTTCGATCCCTCATTATTTGGTCTTGCTGAAAACACCAATTTAATCATTTTCTATCATTTCCTTTTTAAAATACACTATGAACTACCTCGATCGGATCTTTATGAGCAGAAAAAACGCCCCCTCAAAGATAGACAGAAGAGACGCAGACAAGCAGACACTCTCGTTTCTCTGCGTCTTTCGGCTAACTTTAAAGGCGCATATCTTTCTTCAAAAATGAGCTAGAAATTCGATTTTTAGTGAGTTCTGTAGCATTCATAAACAGTATCAATATGGGCAACAAGCTGAATTGATTATTTGAAAATCCAAAAAAAAAATTAACCTCCAATTTGATCACATCCTTCGTCAACTTCACACCCAACTGATTTCTTCTAGATTCATCTATAATTGGCATGAAAAAAGTCACATTATGCCCAGATTCTGTTAATGTATCGGCCAATCTGGCCATATAATTTGTATGGCTCCCACCAAATGCCGGGGAATAGACGAGCACTTTTAGGGGCTCGACAGGAAATAATAGTGTAAAAATTAAGCAAATCAAGATTATAAATTTAGGCATTTTTCCAAAGAATTTGATGACTTTTTTATTCTAATGATCCTTTTATACCCAAATAATTTTCAATGCTGTACTTTGATTTTACAGATCAAGACACTGTTTTTGAAAAATGATGACAAATAGTTAGAGATAATAAAGAAACGAGAAACGCAGGTAAAGGAAAATTATCGGTGTAAAATCTGCCTTGTACCGTTATACGACTGATTTGTCTGGATAAAAAAAAAGATTTGTGAGGTTAGAATCCAAAAATTTTTAAAGTTCAGGAAGCATAGAATTTGATATTCCGGAATTCCAAAAAAAAACCTTGAAATTTGGTGAAAAAACTTCTGACTAGGGAATACCCCAACTCGGGTGTGGCGATACGAGTGGTGGCCTATATCATCTGAAAGCTGACATTTTCCTGATTCCAAATCTGTTTTCAAAAAGTGCTTTGTCGCGGTAGTTTTCGAGAAAATTGGGTCGAAAGTTTCGAAAAATGATGTGGATTTTTAATCTCATTTTCCTTCCTCACGTATATAAGTTTTGAAGCGTTGAGAGAATGTGGAAGCGTGGTTGAATGGTTAGTGAGGAGGAATATGAAACGGGTACTCTCTGGTTCGACTCCTTCGAGCTGCTAAACTATTTTTGATTTTTTTCTTTGTTTTTTTCCGGAGATTGTATCTGACTTCTAGGTGATCCTATATGGTTCCATATACTTGGAATGTGTTTCAATTTTGATTTTAACTGTTTCACTTGTTGTTTTCGAAACTTTTTGTTTTCATCTATTTTTCCACAATTTTCAAAGGACTGTGATCCATCGAAGATTCTAGGCAAACCGCATGTTTCTGATTTTGCTCAAACTTTGGTCATTGGTACTTTTAAACACGCTGATTACAGAACCGAAATTAGTTTTTCCTCTCTGTCCCTGTGAAAAAAGTTATAAGCTCTGAAAATGTTTACAGTACCAATTTCTAACTATTGTTGTGAGTTTCTGAAGCAATTATGGATTTTATTTTTGGGAGTTTTGAATGTTTATAGTATTTGGACTGCTTGTCTACAATCTGACAAGGTTTGCTCTTTTTTTTCGAAATTTTTTTTTGTAATAATCGCCATGGGGTACCCCCTTGGCATTTTCCAATTTACGGAAAATTTTAAAGTGTGCTAAAATTAGTTCTAAACGAAAAGAGACAATAAAAAAGTTATTTCGAAAATAGATGAAAACAAAAAGTTTCGAAAACAACAAGTGAAACAGTTAAAATCAAAATTGAAACACATTCCAAGTATATGGAACCATATAGGATCACCTAGAAGTCAGATACAGTCTCCGGAAAAAAATAAAGAAAAAATTCAAAAAAAGTTTAGCAGCTCGAGGGAGTCGAACCAGAGAGTCTTCACTTGATATTTCTCCTCACTAACCATTCGACAACGCTTCCACATTTTTTCAACGCTTCAAAACTTATATACGTGAGGAAGGAAAATGAGACTAAAAATCCACGTCATTTTTCGAAACTTTCGACCCAATTTTCTCGAAAACTACCACAACAAAACGCTTTTTGAAAACAGATTTGGAATCAGGAAAATGTCAGCTTTCAGATTATATAGGCCACCACCCGTATCGCCACACCCGAGTTGGGGCCTTCCCTAGTGAGAATTCAGAAATTCAGATTTAAAATTGCAGTTCACGAATAAATAGGAAAAACTCAAAGTTTTTAAAGTTTAGGAAATAAGAATCTATAAAATACAAAAATTCAAGCAAACAAGAATTCCTCGAAATTCTACATTCAAAGTTTTCAGAATTTTTTAAAAAATTCCTGTAGTTACACACTTTAAAATTTTTCAAAAATTTTTCAAAATTAAAGATCTTCAAATTTATTTGAAACTAAAATGTTAAAAAATTTCAGAAATTCAAATCTAAATTTCAAAAAACTCAGAAAAGTCAGAAAATTCAGAAAATTCAGGAAATTCTGAACTTTAGAAAATGAAGAAAATCCAAAATTTTGAAAAAATTAAAAATTAAGGTACATTTGGCTCTTTTCTAGTTTAGAGGTCCGAAAAAAGATTAGAGGTCCCAAAAAGGTTTAGAGGTCCCAAGAAAAAATAGAGGTCCGAAACTTGAAAAACGCACAGAAATTGGAACAGTGCAACAGAATTTAAACTGTGTAAAAAATTAAAATTTTGTGGTCTTATTAAAAAAATAGGTGTTGATGGTATATTTTATACTTCTACTAGGCTTAGAGGTGCATATTTTCTGAAAATTATCTAAGCCTGAGAGAAAGCTTATTCACGGAGGCATTACTGTTTGCCGACATTTTGCTTATATGTAAATTTGGGTCCATAAGAAAGACAAAAAAGAAATGAAGCCAAAACTATCAGGAGAAGTCACATTTCCGCTCTTATCATCCTAGAGAGCCTCAAATCTCAAAACCCCAAATTCTGGCACATTATTCTAATACCTGCGCGCTTTTCAAATATCGGACCTCTGTTTTCTCTTGGGACCTCTAAATTTTTTTGGGACCTCTAATTTTTTTTCGGACCTCTATTTTATTTTGGGACCTCTATTTTTTCTTGGGACCTCTAAACTTTTTCCGGACCTCTAAACTAGAAAAGAGCCGTACATTTTTTCAATTTGAATTTCAAACTTTCTGAAAATCCCTCTTTCTAATTTTCAAAATTGCTAACAAAAACCATTAATGATTTGAAATTGAAATTCAGAAGGCCAGAATTTTAAAAAGTTGGAATTCCGAATTTCCAGGAATTATCGATTTTTCGCTTTTGTCAGCTATGTTTCAGTATTTTTGTTTAGTTTTTTTTTCTGTGATTTTTTGCTATATTGCACTATTTTAAAGTAGCTTTTTCATGTTTTTCCGCCCTTTTAATTAGTTTTCAGCAATTTTGCATGCGTTATGGCACATTTTCAGCTTTTTTTCAGATTTTTAGAAATTTAATTACTTTTTTAAATTATCATTTTTGAATTTATAGAATACCTCCAATTTTTTGAGAGTTCAAAAATTTTCAATTCTCTCCCAAAATTCACATTTCCCGCCAAGTTTCCCGACCAACAAAACAAATATAATCTCCCAATTTCCGTTTCGTCATCTGCGTCTTTCTTCTCTCTCTCTTTCTTTCTCACTTACTACGTATTGTATTTCTTCCAGTATCACTCGCACCCTCTTTTTCGTTTTTTTCTTTCTTCTTTTTCAACGTCACCTGTCTTGTCTAAAAAATTTTATACAGAACGTATTCTACAGGACGTCTTCTGAAGAATGACAAATTCAGAAGGTCCGCCTTGTGAAATTTGTGGCCAAGATGGTCAAGGAAATCACTTCGGCGTTATCAGTTGTAGAGCATGTGCCGCATTTTTCAGGTACCTTTTTTTGGAAACTCAAAGATTCTGAAATTCTGAAAAATCTGCGAAAGAAAGAAATTTCCAGAAGAGCAGCTGACTCGAAATGGAGCACAATGGAATGTCTGAGCAAACATTGTGATGGCAAAGCGTAAGAATTTTGTTGAAAAATTGATCTCTGTCTCAAGAAATTGTTAATTTCCTGTTGTTTTTCGTTTTTTGTCCAGCGAAATAATTAGAAAAGGAGAAATAATCAAATTGCATCACCAATTTTATTTTTGGAAAGAAAATTGATAGAAAAGCATTACGAAATTCAGTTTTCTAGAAAATCATAATTTCGGGAAAATAAGAAAGAAACCATAAATGTGACATCGAAAAAAAGTTCCGTAAACCAACGAGTTTCAGAAAAGAAAATAATCCTGAAATCCAGAAATTCAGAAATTCAGAAATTCAGAAATTCAGAAATTCAGAAATTCAGAAATTCAGAAATTCAGGAATTCAGAAATTCAGAAATTCAGAAATTCAGAAATTCAGAAATTCAGAAATTCAGAAATTCAGAAATTCAGAAATTCAGAAATTCAGAAATTCAGAAATTCAGAAATTCAGAAATTTAGTAATTCAGAAATTCAGAAATTCAGAAATTCAGAAATTCAGAATTTCAGAAATTTAGAAATTCAGAAATTCAGAAATTCAGAAATTCAGAAATTCAGAAATTCAGAAATTCAGAAATTCAGAAATTCAGAAATTCAGAAATTCAGAAATTCAGAAATTCAGAAATTCTGAAATTCAGAAATTCAGAAATTCAGAAATTCTGAAATTCAGAAATTCAGAAATTCGGAAATTCAGAAATTCAGAAATTCAGAAATTCAGAAATTCAGAAATTCTGAAATTCAGAAATTCAGAAGTTCAGAAATTCAGAAATTAAGAAATTCAGAAATTCAGAAATTTTGAAATTCAGAAAATCAGAAATTCAGAAATTCAGAAATTCGGAAATTCAGAAATTCAGAAATTCAGAAATTCAGAGATTGAGGAATCTTGAGAATTATGATATCTGCAAATCGGAAATTCAGAGATTCGGGAAATTCTGAAATTATTAACATTCTAAAATTCTGAAAATCCAGAATAATTTGAACATAGATTTTCAATAAAATTCAAAAATATAATTTTCAGCTACCACTGCAAACCATGTCGTCTGAAAAAGTGTCGAGCAGTTGGAATGAGCACATCAAGTGAGTATTGTTTGTCTGTTTATCTGTTTTTCCAGATTTCCACAATTTTCAGACTTCCAACATGACCGTGACGCTATTCAACTCGCTACAGTATCCCGCAAAAGAAAACTACCCCAAACTGTTGAAATCTGTCTTGGGACTCCACATTTTGTTCTTTTTTGTCCAATTGACCCATCAACTGTAAAACAAGTGCATACCTATGTGGGTATGAGTCTTCTAATCCTCAAGCAATAGATATTTTCAAATTCGGAGCCGTAAAACCGCTGGTTGCAAAAAATGGACTTTTAAAGTTGAGCTACGCATACAACTTTCGGAATAGGGCAGATGGCGTCAAGAAATTAACAAAGGTGACACAGAAAGAAGTGACGTCATTTTGGGAGTATCACTTTTTGACAACGGCGAAATGGTTGACACATTTTGACAAGTTTGAACGGTTGGATCCAGATTTGAAGGTATTATTTAATTTTCAGATTCAAAGTTCAAAGTTGAAATTTCTAGATGGAAATCCTCTTTGCGGTCTGGCACATCTGGGGTAGATTGGACAAGTTGGTGGCAACTGCGCTCTACCGAAATAATAACAAGGATGCCAAGTCGTCAGAAAGATTGTTTGGGAATGGGATGATGATGGACACAGAGAACGTTAAGACTGATTCACGATGGATGAGTCGACTTCCGACGGAGCAGTTAAGATAGTGAGTGATTTTGAGATCAGGGATTTTAAATCTCAACTTTTCTAGAGCTACAGATTCTTTAAAAACGCAATGTTTTTGTATTTGCTATTTTTTCTCTAGAAATTAATTTTTCTGAGACTGGCATTCTGAGAGATTCCCAAAAAACCTAATATTCTAAAATTCCTTTTACAGTTTCCTTGATGGAATTCGTGGTTGGGACCTCCATCATCTCATCGATGAAATTCAAAGTTTGGACTTAACAGAAACGGAGCTAACCTTTATGCTTGCTCATCTTTGTTTCCAATATGTGGCATCGAGATACGGTGGAAAAATGTCCGAAATAATGGAACAATTCCTTGGTGAACTATCCAATGATTTACATGAGTATTATACAAAAGATCGAATGATGATTCGATATTCGGGAAGATTGATGAAATTGCTCAGAATAAATAAGGAGATTCTGGAGAACATACGGTTGTACAGAGGACGAGCGAAAGTTGCCAAAGTGTTTGATGTATTCCATTTGGACTTTTCGCATCCCGAAATGTTCAGGGATACTGGATTTGTATAAATTGAACTTTTAAAACTGTAAAACTGTTTGTAATTTTTTTTTGTACATTTGTATTTCCTCTTATAAAACGCCCAAACTACACTCAAAATTTTTAGATCATTTATCTCAGTTTCTATAAAAGTTATCAAAAATCTGTCTACTGATAAAATCTTGGTGATATTATGACAAAGATTTTATCAGTTGATAAATTCTCGGTAGCTTTCTTAGTAACCGAGATAATTGATTTCAAAGTGCTAAAAGTTATAAAATTGTACATTGTATTTATTTTTGTCCAAAATTTCAAAAGTATACCTATACGTTCAGTACGCTAATATACATAAATTTATAAATTTATAATGCTTAAAACTTTTTTTGACAGTTGTTTTAAATTTTTCGTTATTGGCTTTTTTTAAATTTGTGCAAAAATTCCTTTTTTTTTAAAGGTTTTCAGAAATGTCCTCCTGTGAAGTTTGTGGTCAAGCGGGACATGGTATGCATTTTGGAGTAAATACTTGTAGAGCGTGTGCCGCGTTTTTCAGGTATTTTTTAAAAATTTGCTGAAATTTTCGAAAAAATTTCAGAAGAGCCGCAGAATCGAAATGGGACAGAATGAAGTGTTTGAGCAGATTTTGTGACGAGAGAAAGTTAGTTTTTTTTTTTGAAAATTTTAGGAATATCAGGAAATTTTGAACATTCAAAAACCAATTTTCATCTACCACTGCAAACCATGTCGTCTAAAAAAGTGTCGAGCTGTTGGAATGAGCACATCAAGTAAGTTTTCTGCTGTGTGTCTGTTTGTCCAGATGTAAACAAATTTCAGATTTTCAACA